AAAAAACTCGGCAAAAAAAATGTTTTCTGGGACCATGCTTCCTGATGGCAGGACGTATTTTTTGACAAAAAAAAATGCGCGTGGTCCCACGTGGCGGACAAGCAAAAATAGGCTGGTCGTCAACATGTTAAAAACAATGGAATTTCCCTTGGAGCCACATTGAAGTCACTCACAAATGTTTGGCAACTAGAGTTAGCCTATTATGACACTTCTTGCTGCTGAGAGTAGAAGGGAAATTACCAACTTGTGGAAAGATTTCTTGGCAGTTCTCATTTTAGCATGTACAAAAATAAAAAAATATTAATCCATTTACTCAAGTTTGTTTCCTGTCTTTTGGCAGTGGTACCATGTTGTCCAGATGTATAGAATATAATAGAAAAATAGAAACTATGAGGAAAAATATTTCCTCATAGTTTCAAGTCAGGACAAAAAATGAGGTTAAAGACAAAGCACAGAAAAAGAACAGGGAAAAGAACTAGAAAAAAAAATAAATACAGGGTGGGGCAAGAGAAATGACTCATAATTTAAAGTGTTGTAACTCAAAGTGTAACTCAGGGAATGGTTGCATATATTTTCACCAAACAACTTGTGTTGGGTAGCAATATCAATCTGCAAGACTGACTGCACAGGAAGCAACATGGCACTTGTATGCATGCTTCTTGAAAAGGTGGTTTGCTGTGTGAGGTTATTTCCATTATAGACAATGCTACAGAGATACAAGGGAGAATGCAACAGGTATTTGATTAGCCAGTAGGCCAATTAGGCTCCATTGGATAAGCGTATCAAATAGTGTTCCTGTGAATTACCTGGACCAGATTTTGTGTTTAAGTTAACTTTGGCATTACAGTATCAATTCAGGTTGGAGGGTGAGTTCCAAGTCATCTAGCTAGAAAATGATCCATATGTTTCTATGGTTTCTGAATTTTGATGCACCCTATATGTATGACCCAGACTTTTGCTATGAAGAATATTTTCTGATTTCACCCTTGCTGGTACCATTGTAACCAAATTGGGATTATTGTTGGTACACACTTATGTATTTCTCTAGATCTTGGCAACTTGTACATAATTACCAGTCATTGAGATAAGGTGGAACTTCATGTTATTTTTTCTTTGCATATTGTTAGATTACTAAAACAGAATGTCTGAGGTTAATATAGGTGTGGTTGACAAATTTCTCAGCAGCATAAACCATAAATAGAATCTCTAACCAGAACAAACTCAAGGTAATAACTGGTCAAAGAATTCAGATTCAAACATAATGTAGTGTTTATGTATAACACAATTTAAAATTGTATATGCATTGCAGCATAAATGATTAGAAAGGTCTAATGTCTGGTATGGAAGTGTAATGCAGAAGATGGGAGTATGCGATTCTGGTGGTCATAACAACATTCAGTGCCCTGCAGAGTGCCTACTCCACCCAGACCACTCTATCCTTAATGAGTGGTAGAGTGAGGTTAGACAGCAGACTGTTAGAATTCTGAGTTTTAACACTCACCTATTTATGTAACCTTACAGTCTAACATTTTAGGATAGTCTGAAGCAACAATATAATTTCTCACTTTTTCTCCCTCCTCTTATGCCCAAAGGCTGATGGGAGGAGGAAAATAATTTTACGTGGCTCAAGTACTCATTGAACTTTCACATGTGCTCACTTATTGCAGGGATGAAGTAAAACAAATCTTGGTAATCATGTCAGGTGTGATCTACAGCTTACTGCATGGCATGTCGCATGTGATCTCACCCCCCTGAGTCATTGTTTTCCCACCCTTTGCCAGTAATAATGTAGTATAGTACATGTCTGCTTAAGAGTTACTGTCAACTTTGGCATGACCATCTTTCAGGGGTGTACACAGGACTTTAGGAAGGAGAAGCTCAATATTAAGACTGCTGAATTACGAGGGGAGGGGGTTGCGATGTACTGATTAGCCAGGGGGCGTTGTCAGGTGCCAGGCCCATGGCGAAACCCTGAGTCCCTCATCTCCCTGCATAAGCCCATGAGAGATGGTCATGCCAAAGTTCACAGTAATCCTTAGGCAAATATATACTATATATACTATTACCCTCTTTGCCTTGCCTTTCACTTTTTTAATGTCATTTGAAGCCCTTTCACTTCAAGCGTATGTATAGATCTATGTATGGTGTGGCTCAACAAACCTGCCTTCATGGCAAATGAAGCAACCCAAGTTTAGCTGAATTGGTGTAGCCAATTTACTTGATTGAAGAAGCTCATAGAGAAGCTGTGGTCTGAGCTGAAGCTTAAGGTCTTGCACAACATGCCAGGTACCTTATAGAGGAGTGGTGGCGGGGCTTGTACCTATGTCCGGTGACTTTTGAAGGCTTCGCCCATGCCCACATGAAAGTTCCATGAATGACAGGGTGTATGACTCTATATGGTCATTCATGATCATATATTTGCCATATACCACCATACATGTATTCATATAATATCAATTGTATGGTGTATAATATATTTTACCTGCATTGCAATATTAAGTGTGATGGGCAAATGGCATCATGTCTGATATGTGATGAATATCCATAGACAAGTCTTATGGTTGTGACTAAAGCATGTCATGAGGTCAGTGGTGCATTTTGGCTGAAGAGTCAGGGGGGACAGGGCAGCAGAGAGGGGGCACCAAACCCTGTCCCAGGGATGCCAGGGGGGGCAGCCGCACCCCCCTGCCCCCCCCGGAAAATATGCCACTGCATGAGGTTGTTACAAATGAGGGCAATTGACCTTCAAATGCCTCTGTAGCTAATTTTTAATGCACCCATTATATTTTACATGAAATATTAGCTATGTATAGCCTTTAAAGTAATTTGCCAAAAGTTTGATTTTGAACCCCCCCCAGCTGAAAATCCTAGTTGGAAACAGCTATAATTTCCAGCTGGACCTTAGTTGGAAATTCAGACCCACTACTTTCCCATACTTTTCCCATAGCTGGGTAGCAGCTGGAAAGTAAAGTCAGATCCAGATTGTTCCTAATTGCAATACATTGGTGGAATGAGAATGGCTATTCTTGCTTTTGTTGGCTATTCTTGCTGGAGGTCCATCTATAGAAGCAGCTGAATTTCATCTGTAATTTCAGCTGTATTCCAACTGAAGGGTCCTCTGAGTAAAATTCTAACTGTAAATTTCCAGCTGTAAAACAACCTGTAATTACCATTTTTCAGCTCTTTGCCAGCTGGAAATGGTCTGAATATACAGCTTCTGTCCACCTGGAAAATTCCTTAAGGGTTTCAAACTGGGCCCCACACTCTCTAGGTAGCATAAGCATATTGCAGATGAAAAAAGTGTAGGAGGAGGGGGGGGAGGCACAAGAACTCTGGGACACTGTTATCATGCATTTCATGCATCTTTTTCTTTGTATTAATGCATTTTTTGTTAATTGGGGGCACATGCCGTGCCATGCCTTCATTGAACAATTCCTTCATTGGATTATTTCAGGAAGAAATAGGTTTTTTTCCCATCTGTCTTGTGAGTTGTCAGTCAAGATGAAGACACTCCTACATGATTAAGTAGCATTACTGATGAAAATACTTTTGGAGGTTAAAATCTATAATATTGAACTTTCACCATCATTAACAAGAGTGCATATGTTGAATACCATGAAACATGAGTTCTTGGAGTAATTGACTGTGGTCTATGAACAATTAAAAATGAGTTGATTGCAAGTAAGGTATGGTGACTTGCATATCAATGATCATACAGTATCTGATGGATTATGGACCCTTTTTGGATATAGGCATGTTTCAGGTAATCTCACCATATGACATGGCATATATGGACAGTATATGGTGCATTTGTATGAGCCAATATATGAAAATGTATGGGGTAATATATTTTCCTTCTTATATGATTTTAAGTGACTTGTGTCAAACCCCATACATGTTTCATATATGTTCATATATGAATTGCACTATATGGTCATATATGCCCCATATATGTTGGACTGGTTTAATATATGACCATTTCATATATGGTCTTATATGAAATTTTCATATGGGCATGGCTTGAAGACCACTTGGATTGAGGGTGTTGCATTTAGTGACAAAAGCTTCGAGCCTGATATGATTCAAGACTACACTTTGATGAGGGTTCTATCTTAGGTCAGCTATTTTTAGGTGTCTGTACTTCATTTATTGTTTTTATATTTAGGTATTGTGTTTAAAATCAATTATGAAATAATCCTGACCACCTTTTGATGGCATTCATGCCTACTTGCTCATAGATCACTGCATTCAACATAGATCACACCTGACACGATTACCAAAATTGAAGTCTTAAGTATTTCCCTGAAAGCAGAAAAGTTCTTCACTGCCTTACTCACAAAGGCCTTGGAGTTGTGTGGAAAAAGAAATATATAGTCCTACTTTCATTGGTATTGAGAGAATGGAAAAAGGAAATGAATGGAAAAAGAAAGGTGCTCAATGTAATGCCATTTGACTATGTTTTTGTTGTAGGAGTGATGGATCATTCAAGGTCACTGGCCTTCCCCCAGGATCATATCTGATTGAAGCTGTCTGTGCAAACTTCTTCTATGAGCCTGTAAAAGTTGATATAAATGCAAAGGGGAAATTTCGAGCTCGCAAGGTATTTCTCATGCAGCCCTCTCAAGTTACCCAAGTCCCTTATCCTCTGAAGCTGAAGGCAAAGATGCCTTTGAAGTACTTCATGGCTCGAGAACAATGGAGGATCACTGATTTCCTCTTCAGTCCCATGGTGAGATCCCAGATGAACAGCAGATGGACTTTTACGATTGTATACACAAAAACTTTGACTTCTCTATTTGACAGGTCATAATGATGGTGATTCCTCTCTTGTTTGTGATGATTCTACCCAAGCTTATGAATGATCCAGATACAAGAAAGGTGAGCCCCATTGTCTCTTTTGAACCAAAATGATGGAAGGTTTTTCTAGAAAATGTACCACTTTAGCAAAGTTATGGCAGAGATCCCATTCAAATTTCCTGGGAAAAATTTTTGCTGTAGGGTATCTACATATACAAGGGCCAGTCAAATGAAAGTGGGCCAGGGTGCTCTGGATGCATACTGTGACACATATATGGACATACCCCCGCTGGTGTTGAGGCACTTCTTCCATTGTATCACAAGCCACTGCAGGGTGTCTTCCTAGGAACATGGCCTAAGCCCAAGCTCTTGACTTTTTTTTTTTTAAGTATTCAAAAGTCTGTTGTTAAAGAAAATAATAAAATACTGCTTATCCCTTCAGTGGCTTTTGAGACATTTAAAATTAATAATTTATTGTGACTTTTCCAAAACCCTGTACGTAAGAGCACTCTTCTTTTTACCTAAAATTTTGCTGTTTGTCACCTGATTTGAGATGAGTGCTGAAACCTGTGGTGGATCAATTTTCTCAGCATGTATGATTTATTGGCTGACTCATGGTAAATGTGACACAATAGTAGTCATAAATCCTTTGAGAAGTATGCCCATAAATATACATTTTAAAAATGCTTACAATTTCTAATTTCAAGTTTTGTGTAAATAACCCTTTTTGAGTTGGTTGCATTTTTGCTTTTCATGTGCTGCAATCAACTATTATCTACCATATTATCATCAAAAAAACTTTCATGATATATATTGTTATGGTATCTCAATGGTTTTTTTTTTCAAGGCAAACAAGGAGCACAAAGAAAACTCACTTCTCAAAGGGTTAAGGAGTTGTAGAACTTTCCAGGATTACAAAAATGTGACCCTGACATGAAGGTATATTTGAAGAAAAAAAAAAAAACTGGTGATTTTCATACCATGCCATTTAAAAGTAAAGGAAATTCTCCTAGATCATCCTAATGAATATATTTTAGACATGATATAGATTGGTTGAGAAACATCATGATTTCCCACAGCTGAAAGCTGTGGGGGGGATCAGCTCTCAACCTTAAATGGCTTCTTGCAAATAGTTTAGTGGCAACAAGGGTCATCCTACGTGTACAGGGACCAAAAAACGTTCATAGGCTGAGTTTTTTCTTACCAATATGTTGAAGAAAATCACACACATTCCCATAACAGCATTCTAAGTTGCACAATTATCTCATCCTCCAACCAATTTGTTGCATTGTTAAGCCTTCTTTTAATTAAATACTTCAGGAAATAAAGGCTCCCTTTTTCTTCAATATTATTATAATTTCAAGGATTCACTCAGAATGCTGTTGTGGAGTTCTCAACTAATATATTATGTATCTGTATTTCTTTTTAATTGGAAGACTCATGGTGTAAGTCATTACATTTAATGATACCATGTGGTGATGTTCATTTTTGACTGGGTGGCCATGTTATACAGGCTCCTAACAAAAAACAATGTCTGCTAGAAAAGTATTTTTTTTGTGTTCTGCTTATGATGTCCAACAAGCAATATTTGCATGGAAACTTGGAGATCTCTGCTGCAAGGTGGTACATTTTTATCAGAGAGCTTATTGAAGCATACTAATGGATGGCAATTTTATTATGACAGGAAATGGAGCAGCTTCAGATGCCCAAGTATGAAGTCCCTGATCTGTCAGAGGTTATGACGTCCTTCTTTGGTGGTGAAAAGGCTAAACCAAAAGCGAAGGCCATCAAGAAAAGACAATAGGTACTATCATGATTTTCAACTTGAACTGAATGGATTTATGTCCAATAAAACACCACTAGTCGCAATGGTTGCAATTATTATGTTGGGATGGGCTGGAAAAGCATTTTCCTTTTGATTTCAATACCTGACTTGTAAGAAAATTTTTCTCACAACAATAAGCTTATGCCAACTTGATGTCAGTCCTATGCCCAGTAGCCAGAAGACAAGAAGCAGAAGCAAATCCCATATTTGGGCCATTAGAATAACATCTGTTACAACATTGGCATGGTGTAAGCATGACACCATATTATTGCAGACATGAAATTTAGGGAATGAGAAGTAATGCTGACATTAAATTAAGTGGACAAAAACCCCAAAAGTGAAAAATGCTGGCAGTACTCAAAAGTGCAATCTTGAAACAAGCTTAACAGATTCTCATCAGAATAGCAAGAATTAGAAAAGGGTTACACAAAACAAGGTAGAAAACTGAAATTCAGATGCATGTTGACACTGTATAGTGCCAACTTGAAATTAGATTTACATGGTGATCCAGCCTTAGATACCCCACTAAAAGTGTAAATGGAAATCTTACAGCTATAACAACCTGTCACTTTGAAGCCTCAACTGGAGTCCCACCAAGTTCAACGCACTCATAAAATCTGGTAGCTCTCTCCTGATGCACTTTGTCCAACATAGCAGGTATAATGTGCTGACAACATGCAATGATCCATGTTGTTAAATCATTATTGTCTTATGGTTTTGTTGCATAAATGCAGTTGTTGATGTAACCCTGCAAGAAAAAAATCAGTGGGGTCAAGATTGAGGATCTTGCAAGTAGTCCACCTTGGCCTATCCAACATGCAAATGTCTCTTGTAACCAGTCACAAACTGCATGACACCAGTGGGGTTGTGTAACATCCTGTAAGAAATACACTTCCTGTGGTAGTATACCAAACTGATTTCAATTGAGGATGAAAAACAATGTAATGGTGTGAGGTGGTACTCTCCATTAACAGTGTCATTTGGGAAGAAGAATGGACCAATTAGAGTTGCAGCAGGTAATGCACACCAGCTAATTAATTTTTCAACAAAGCCACTCTCATAAGTTTGAGCTTGGTAGGACTCAAGTTGAGGCTCCAAAGTAACAGATTGTTGTTGCTGCAAAATTCCCATATACTTTTAATGGGTTATCTAAGGCTGTATCGCCCTGTACATAGAAGAAAAACCTTAACTGGTTACCAACAACTAATGCAAAATAGGAAGGGTGGCAGTTCTCATATCTTTGCATGTGTTACTGCTAATGAAATATAGTTGACTCTGCATAATGGGATGATCCAGGGAACAGAATACTTTATTCTGTAATCCAGAATATTCCAATAATAACTGAAACAAACTATCATACTGTCCTCGTTTATGCTTCAGGTGAACTTTAGAAATACATACTTCAGTACTTGTTTTTTTTGCATTTAGTCATTTAAAAAAAAAAAGAAGCTTTTTACATAATTTTTGGCACTTGTAGTTCATTCTGTCTTCCCCCCCTTTTTCTGTGTTTTTGTGCAATTATATTTTAAAATTTTCTTCTGTGCATGCCCTATTTTTTGTGTGCTTCTCAAGATTTTTTTTTTTCAATTTAACCCAAGTACTGCAGGTCCTGGAATATTCCAGGTTTCAGTATGCATATCTGAAAGGAGTTTTAGATAGGGGAGGGTTGATGATGTTAGATATAGGTTTTATTTCATTACAATGGATAATGAAGGGGATAGAGCCATTTGTTTAGGACTACATAACTAAGGTTAAGTGCGCAAAAACAATCCAGTGGCGGTGTTGTTATGACATCACAATCAATGAAGCAGGAGTAGGGTTAAATCCATTTTTTCCTTGTGCACTGTTCTTAATTTTTATATTTCTTGAGTTCCTTCACCCATTGGCTTTCACATAACTCTTGGAAATAGTCAAGTGGCAGTTGCTCATGACCTTGGTTGCTGCACTAGTGGAACTAGGTTCTGGTGGGAAAAAAAGTTTCTGTGCTGTTTATTTTGGTCATGGCAAGATTTCTTTTAGCTTGTGCAACTTCATAACCACCCTGTATTTGTAATTTTGAACAAGCCTTTGAGAAACAAGAAAAATAGCAAGAACTATACAGGCCGTCCCAAAATTATTGAACCACTTATAAAACTGAATAAAATCAGAACCAAGAAAGCTAGACAGTTGATGCTTCTAGCATGTTGAAGATAAAACTTTTTTTTTTGTCCAAAAATGACATCTAAGTTTTCAAAATGGTGATGGTGCAGGAGAAAGCAAAATGTGTACAGTGGCTTGTGAAATTCGAATTGGCAAGATCAGTTCAAAGGGAGTTTAGGGTTTAGGAGTTTATGGAAGAGCTGTACATATCCAGGTGACTATTAGAAGAAAGTCAAGGCTGTTGGATGAGTGGTTCATATAAAAGGTGCTGGTGGGCCCAGTACATCAGATGCCAATGCAGATTGTGTGCAAATGGCCTTTTTGCTTAGCCCTAGTAAGTAAATTTGGCAAGCAAGCAGAGAATTGGAGCTACCATGTACAATGGGTCATTTGCCTTTGCCTCAAACTGTATACATGCATGATCCAGCTGGTCCAGGAACTTGAGCCAAATGACCACCACTGCAAAAGGCATTTGCAAGTGAGCTACATGAATGGATTGGAAACTATCTACTACAAGTTTAATCGTCAACATGATACAAATACAAACCTCAACTATCTAGCTAGTTTGGTTCCAATTTTATTCAGTTTTAAAAGTGGTTCAAAAATTTTGGGATGCCCTGTACATCATGGTCTTGCTTATGACATGAAGTTTGTGATAGGGTATAGTTAGGGTTATCATGTGTCTGGTTTTTCCTGGACATTGCCCTCCTTTTCCACCTTCAAATTTCTGCATGACTGCTAAGTGTCCTCTTGTTGGCTGTCTGAAATATGGTAACCCTGGGTATAGGGTGCTTTCTTTTATATTAACCTCATGATCATCCTAATAGTTTAGTAACTTGTGCAACTTTGTAATCACTTGATAGAATCAGGGCTAGTTGCTATGGAGTTATCAAGACTAATACATGGTGAAGCAACGATAGGTGTATAAATGAGAAGGAAATTTGCTGAAAACTGCAGGATCGAGTGCAATGAAAAACTACTAGCCCCAATTCATATGTTTGTCCTTTGTTGTTGCCATACATAGGATTTCCCTTCATGACAAGGTCTTGTCATCTGCCATGAACTTTAGCATTTTTCCTATCGAGATTCTCATGAGTGCTACTTTTGTATTTGGAAATCATTGACAGCACTCTTATGTAACCAGTAATTCAATTTTCATTAAGCGAGTACAATTTGCCAGCATAATTTTTATGAGCCACAATCTGAAAATGATGACTTACACATAGATATTCAATTATCATCTGACCTGCACAAGATTTTGTGCACATGGTATCTGGAGGCAGTATAATAGAGTATGATAAGTACAGGATGGGCCATAAGTCCCTATAACCCTGACTTTATTAAGCATCCAAAGCATCTGCATGTGCACCTTCATTGTCCCGACATAAGACAATGCATCTCCAGGTTCTATGGGACATTTTTCTTAGCAATGCAGGGGTGATTGTTCTGAAAGCTTCATGGACTGCAACCATCAGTTCATTTGTCTGGTAGCCCCTCTTGGACACAATTTCCTTGATGTGTCCCCACAATGAATTATCACATGTGCTGAGGTCAGGGCTTCTTGCTGGCCATTTCAGGGTGCTGGAGGTGTCAGAGACCCACAAAAAAGAACAATTATTGGGGTATAGGGACTTATGGCCCACCCTGTAGATGGCAGAGTGTAGATCATCTCACTCCAAAGCCAACTCAGAGTCACATCTCTGAAATCAACACAACAGATATGATAGAATGACATGATATTGACATGTCTACTGGTTTATTTCAAAGTCAATAAATAGAAACTGCTCAATGAGCAAGCATGCAGGATGATGCTAGAGAGTGCAACAAAACTGGAGTTCCATTAATGACATTCTCATTGCACATGAGAATTTCCCATTGGTAAAAAAAAAAGTATCACAATGGGAAAACAAGATTCAAATCCAAGCACATCTGTTTAATGGAGTTTGAGATCGAAAGGGGAAGGAAACCATAAGAACAAATGCCACATACCAACTACACAGGAAGGGTGCATATGCTGACACTGAACCAATCATGCTAGGTGAATGGTATACAATGGGTGACATGCACCAGATCCATTTATCTCTAAACTTATCTGGGTTCATATTGGGTGTCTATGGAAATAAGATCATCTCCTTCAAACCATTTCCCATAGAGGACCATTGTGAGATCAAATTAGTTTAAATGAAGCAAGTCTGGTGCATGTCACCTAATGACAATTTCTTTTCTCTTCTAACTGAGCAATGCTTTGTGAGGTTTTGCAAGAAAACAACAAAAGCATGACGATTGCCCAATTTTATCCAGTTTATCTACACTTAACAACATCAGTGAATCCTAATGCATGCACATATACCTTTGCAAGTAGAAGTGCAGCCATTATGACTTGTATTGCTGTCACAATTCATGCAAATACTGTGCAAATGTATACCCTGTAGGTCTGTCTACATGTAAAGGTAAAGGGGTGATACTTTTGATAACTGTTAACCTTTTTATGGAACTTCACAAAAGCCACTGCCTCCTAGTTGTGGGGTGTTTGGTGTCATCTATTGCTCACTCCTTCCATGTTTGTTTGAGGAAAAAAATGCATAGGCACAAATGATGAAAGAAAGCACACCACATTTCTGGTTGGCAAATCAATGTAGTTCATCTTTCAATCAGGTTGATGAATTGGAATCTTTGGCAGAAATTCTAAAACCAGCACCTAAGGAAGGTAATAAATATACAGTCAAGTACAAGAAATGGATGCTGGGAACTCAAAATAGAAAGAAAAACTCACATATTCCATGAGGTTGGAAGACTGGCATCTTCGCTTATCAAGTTTCCAATGCAGACCCAATTTGTGATAGAGATTATTGTTCTCCCATTCCAATACTTTTTCTATTGAGTGCCTTGTCTATGGAAAGAAAGTCAGTGAAGCATTCCATAATCATGAAAATAGAAGTAAACATGGAATTCTTTACCAGTAAACGTACCCGCTTGCTGAGGCAGACAACTGGCCAAAGAGAACAACCAAGGGTGCAGCAGCAACATAAGCAACCACAAAACAGCCACTTGACATTTATGGGTAAAGTCTTGCGGAGAACACTGTTTATCCTCAAGATTGTGGCCTTGTACTCCTCTGGTGCTACCTGTGTAACAATCCCACAAAGGAAAGCCTATAGGAGACAGCATCTTCCAACTTTTTGATGAAATACTGAAGTCTTACCTTGGCTGAAAGTGCTGTTGGGAACTCATGGTCAAATCTATTGCTTAGGCCAAATCTGTGGAGAGAGAGAACAGAATGACAGGCTGCTTGAAAAGAATTCACACAATGAAGGCAGATACCCTTGCATAGAGTAAAAAAAAAAAAGGCAAAGCATGATGGGTAAAATACCACATAGCAAGTTCAACAACCAATCTTGAAATTTTGCACATAGAAAATTTCACCAATAAAAAAATAAAAAACAGAACATTTAAAAACTGGATTATGCTTGACAACAGTGCTCTCAACCTACAGAAAGAATACATGTAAAATGAAAGTTATTCCTCAAAATCGCACTTTGTTTGACTGATGACAGGATGTTCTCAATCACTAAAGGGGAGCACACTGGAGGAGTGACACAAATCAAGCAGGAGGCCAGGACCAATCTATTCATTGTGTCATCCACAAAAAGATGTTGGCATCCAAGGGAATGAGCCCTGAATTGTTCTAATGGCTACAGTGAAACTGTTAATAATATGAAATCAGTTGCACTAAACTTGTGCCTTTTTGTAGTTCTCTGCGACAGGATGGGGTCAGCTTGTTGTCAGTTACTCCTCCACACAGAGATCAGGCGGTTGACTTTCACTTTAAAAATTGTAATTTTCTAATTCTCATTTTACCAGCAGAACATACTGGGGGATTTAAAAGGCAAGTCAGACTTCTCTATGATTCCAGTTAGAAATTCATTATCTGTTTTCTTCACAAGATGTTAATGCAGAAAGTTCCATATTATCAAGAGGATATTTAAAATTACAATGAACTCCTCAGAAACGCCATTTAAAACTCATGTACATGATGCACCCTTTCCATGACATTTTAAGATGAGAATTTTCCAGGGATTATTGGAAACAGGTGTTCCCACGAATGGATGAAGAAAAAATTATTTGCATAAGAGTCCAATTTCAAATGTAGGACCCTTAGCCATAATATTCCTAGAGGAAGGTAAAAAAAAAAGACTAGCATTTCTTAGAAAAGGCAGGAATTATTTCCAGAGCATATGGAAAAATTGAGGTTTACATGTTTTTAGACAGATATTTTTGTAGAGTAGAATCAGAAAACCCTGATATTTTCAATTATATCATAGGTCATTGATGCCATTATGGACATATAGAATAAAACCTGCACCCAAGTATTAGAATGTCATCACAGATCATAGATCCACAAGGAGACTTGCTAGTTGAGTCTGCCCTTGGTAGATTCTGATTATTGTGAGTTTTAGCTCAAGGGTTGAGACAAAGCTCCCTTTTATTCATACAAAATGCCATCTTCTACAAAGGAGGGAGCAAGATCTCCCAGCCTGGAGCTACAGCTCACAGAGTTTAAACTCTCAAAATTTACTCATCACATATGGAGTTTTACCTCCAATTTAGTTGAGCTCTAGTTCTAGCTCACTTTTATTCAATCAGGCCAATGTCTGTTTAACCTTTACACATGGAGCATTTGCATATTCAGACAAAGGATGTAAGTAGAAAAACACTAATTTTGTCATATTCGAAGGGCATGGAATCTTCCTTTCCACACCTATAAAGGACGATTCCATGCTGTTCAAATATGGTAACATCTACATTTTTCTATATAAAGGCTCTGTTCAACTATGGAAACATTTAGCATCTAAAGGTTAAGCATCATTATGAAAGCTTCAATTTTTCCAAAGTAAAAAGAAACTAGTTAATATATTTAAAATGTCTAACCAGAACTCACAACAAAAGGTGGCGTTTCAAAATTTGGACTCCCTGGGGTACCTTAGCGAGTTAGAGGGCAAACAATCTCACTAGTATAAAATAAATGTGAAAATGGTGCTCAGAAACTGGAGGGCAGCATTCAGTGGATCTCATTATCAGCTACCCATATGCAAACTGTCTCAGAGCATACTCTTGTATTCTCCTTCACATTTCTTTCATTTTATCCTCCATGGATTTTGAAAATGACACAGGAAAAAGCACATAGGGTGCTCATTACTTAAAAGATCGAGGTCCAGGTTGGGATGTCAAGAGACATGACAATCTGAATTGAGGTCAAGTGTTCCTCCTAGCCCTCCCCATCTACATGTTTTTTGGCAGGAGCACATCAATCTATTGACCAGTTACTAACTGCTGTTACTCTCCTTCCCTTTTCTTCTTGGATTAATCTCACTTCTTGAGGCCATCCATGGATGAGATAGCAACTACATCTTCACCTATTGCTTTTCCATTCACTATTCCAACATGGGAAGTGGTTATTCTGCAAATCTCATTTCTTATATTTTACATAATATGAACTACTTCCTGATCATTCTGGTGTTATCCACAACTTGGAAAAATCCACTACACATTTTAGGTTATCAAAGTAAATAATCATCATCAATTCCTTGATGAGATCTCAGCATGTTAAACCCTTTCCAAATACTGTGTCAAATACAATAAAATCAATTAAATTGATTTTATCTACATGATGTAAGAGCTATTTGGACAAAGTGCATAACATGGCACATTAGATACAAAGATAAGAACCTTCCAGTAATATGCTGGCATCTGTTCACCAACTGAGCAAAACATTACCAGTGTAGTGCACATGTAATTTTTTAATGGCAAAATAAAAGCTCATGCTCTAAGGGGTGAACCTTCTTTCCAGCAAATTCAGTACCCATGTACCAATATACTACCACTATAAAAGTCAAAATACCTCCCTCTCCTTAATCATTTTTGGACAGGGCTCTGCCAAGCTTGTTTTTCTTTATGATTCACAGACTCCATCACTAGGGCAGAAAGGTTTGGCCTCCTCAAACTCCCAATCGAGGAAAGCTGGTATTTTTTTTTAACACAAGTTTTTACAAGCAAATGAAAAAAACTTACACTGTGACATTTCCTGCACCCCTGACAACGATTGGATCTGGGGTTGAAGTCAGGCCAATTTCTACTTGATCTGATGCCGCTTCACTATCAGCTTCATAAATTGCATCTACATCAAAATCTGCCATTCTTGCAACTGATGGCAACAGATGCTCCTATCATGGTTTCCACTCACATTCTGCCAAAATCTGAAAAGGTATAAACAGAATTATACAACAGGGACACAACAATAAATTGATGTTGTTGAAGGGAGCATGAACACAGCAACATTCTCAGAGACTGTACTAAAACAAAAAGAACAGAGAAGCATGCAACTATATAGACTGAGTGAAGTAAATATAATGGGTGATGCAGAGAAAAAAAGTATCCCTTTATAAAGCCTACTATATTTTTTTTTTTTTACTGTAGAGAGAACAATTGTGATTATTATATTTTTTTGGCATCACAAAGAAAACAAAAGTTTTTTTTTTTCAGAACAGTTCTGCAGTTTTTAGGTTGTTTGAGTGAAAACAGTCTTTGAAACACCAATGAGAAAATTCCACTTTTTTGCATATCAAAAGAAAAACAGTTTTCAGTGCCCAACATGTGTTCCATTTGTCATAAAAAATAATCCTTCTTCTCATGGTTGCATTCTCATTGAAATGTTCTTGACTGCACAGTCTTATATTTTAAAGGACAAGTCACTGTGTTAAAAAGGTGTTTTTAAAATAAGGGCTTGGAAGGGAAGAGACTCAGCAGAATCCATGATTCGACAGGAAACTCTCACTATTTTCTTCCCTCTCCAGTCCTTAAATCTAAACTCAACATCAAATTCAGACCTTCTCACCTGAGGCCTAAAGACATAAATTATCAAGAATAGTAATGACAGGGATGCAGCTTAAAAAACAGCCTTCATGGTGTCAAAGGAAAGAAATTATTTGAGTCATGCTGACTTTGCATCCATCTCATGTGAAAAAATTTATATTTTAAGACAGCACTTTAAAAGACTGTTGCTTTCATCCAAATAATCTAGAAATGTGAAACTTTCAGGAAACATATTACATAATGTTTCCAATATGATACAAAAAATTATGAACCTAGAATTTCCAGTCTGTTTCAAGAACATCAAACAAGACACTTCTCTTCTTTTTTTTTCATCATCCAATACCTGGGTCAATGGAATTCCTTGAATAACTCTCAATCAATAAATAAATTTTTCCCAAAGAAAGTAAGGTGATCAGTACACAGCAGAATCCTAAATATCCTGGATAAAACAATTTTTCTATGATAATCAATAGGGCAAAACACTCAATGTTCAGACAGTAAAGCTGGGTGAACCTTATCATCCATTCATCATGCCCAAGTGATACAAGATGGATGATTCATTCTTGGTGGTTGAGAGCACAACATGAGTCAGAATGAGTCTTATGCTGTCCTTTAAAGATTTAATGTTTCCAATAATGCCTATCACGTGGGCATTTAATCTAAGATGCAAAAAAATTAAGTTTTAATTAATTAAGAAAACAACTTAGCAGGATTCATAAAAAGCTTTTGACTTTTATATGCTTAAGCAAGAACATATAGGACTTAGGGGGATAATGCTAGACTGGTTCATTTGCTAATTGTCTGACAAAAAATGAAACAGTGGATGCTTATACAAAAGTATGGAAATAACATTGCAGAAATAAATAAAATAATTCAAAAGACTTTGATAGCCCTATAAAAGAAAGTTCAAAATCAATAAACTTACTATATATGCAACCAAACTAAATTTCATAGCTTCTGTGAGCCTCATCTACAAACAAGTCAACTGGTATCTAGATAAGAACAAGTGCATGCTGCAAAATGCCTTGGCATATGGTTGCATAGTTAGCTGACCTGGTAAGAATGTACTTCTGAAGTTTCAGGGAAAGTAGTCACAAGTACTCAAGAATTTTTGAGACTAGGGATTTCCTGCCAAAAATGAAATATATGTTTTGCCATGATTTACCCACATATTAGCCATTGTCACTTTGGAGTGCAGCTGCAAAGTAGTATGTAAATAAGTTGTAGGAATAAATAAATAAAAGACTAATGAATCATCTAAACCATGTAGCTTGAATATTTCATGAACTTAATAATACTAACAAATAATACAATTTGTTTAGTGTCCTAAAAGGTAATGAAAAAAAAAAAATTTGAATAACAATTTGCAATACTTGCCACGGTTATACAATCAGATACTCAGCTAATGCAAGGCTGTATTTAGGGGGGGGTTCATGGGGTTCAAACCCCCCCCGAAATATCTTCCTTAAATTTTTGCCATACTGCTATTTGTTAGTGTAAACGGTGCAGTACATGGTCTTTTCTCTCTTTAATAGCTTATGACTTATTAAACATTGCAGCTTACAGGAAAATCCAGATATGTCACAAAGACTTACAATGACAAGTATAAAAAAAAATTGCCATAGTCCATACGCCAGACCTCAATCCCCCCCGAAATGAAATCCTTGATACAGCCCTGAGCTAATGATGCATTAACTTCTACACTTACAAAAACTCACCATAGGCAAAATTCAATACTAGCAGCATCGCTTAGATATCATCATGATGTACTTCAAGTAAAAATATCCATTATGCAAAACTGAATATACAAAATTTATTTGAAATACCAAACTGAAACAGATTAATCATAAAGTAGCCATAGACCACCTAGTCAGGCCACTCTAGGTAGGTATGTTCCAACATAGGGTTTGCCTTCAAATTCTTTGGGAACCTAAACTCACTATCTCCAGTTTTCCTTTTTCTTTTCCTCTAAAGCAGGGCTTCCCAACCTTTTTTACGTGCAACCCCATAAATGACAGTTGTACCATTCAGGATCCCAAGAACTGGCTGAAGTTCGACAGACTCCCCCACCTAAGTGGTAAAATCTCAAAGACAAATATAACTTGGTTTTTAGTTGCCAGTTTACAACCCTAGGTTGGGAAGCACTGCTCTAAAGGAATCACAACTGTTAAACCTTGTGCTGTACTTCCACCACTTCCTAGACCAAATTTGTGTTATAGCAGTCTTCAATTCATCGTTTTCAAGGAAATACAGATGGATTGAATTAATTTAGAAGCTGAGTTGGAGTCAAGCAGGCCTAAAAGGCCCATTCAGATCCCAAGAATTTGAGATATCAGAACCTCTGTAGTTCTCCTGAGAGGAGAAACACAATAGGCCTAAACAAGAATAGAGCAGAGGATGAGTTACAGACCTTTAAAAAAATAATAATAAAGCAGGAGACAAATAGCAGTGCAACACCATGCAATAACATTAAAACTTTTCACAAAGCAACAATTCAAACAGTCCAAACCTAAAAGGTAGAAAAGCTGGGCGAAGAGATCCACATAGAGAAGACTGTCCTAAGTTAAATTTGGAATTGAGTTTCTGATGGAAGACTTGCGCAAGGGCCAAGATCGCCTAGTCTATTACGCCCACACAATTCTGAAACAACGTTTAACTTTGCAAGTAGGCATAAGAACTTATAATATTTAGTTTGGGCTTAGTGGGTGCACCTTAACATAAATCGTGTATATGGAGAAAATAATCCACACTATGCCATGATCCCAGCTGATCGACAAAGGCCCTTTGGTGGACCCCTGGCTTTCAGGGATGCTGGATAGTAAATGTTGCAGATTCCAACCAGCTCCCCCAGCCACCATTGATTTCTTTACAAGTTTCCCTGAAGACCAGGCTACTTACTAATTGGTTGCACCTGTTCTTTAAGACTTGAAACAACAATGTGCCGAATGATAGAGAAATTGGAGAACTTGGAAATGCGGTATAAGTCACCTGTTTTGATAGGTCATGGAGCATAGAGCAAATGATATGGCTGCCTCCAAATAACCACGTGAAAAGTTCTCAGATGAGTGTTTTTCCTTCGAGTTCGTTGGCCATGCCTGTACTTTCTTTTGGACGGCACAAGTTTCTGAATTAGTTATGTTGCTGGAGAGAAGAGTTCGTTTTGTCATCAACCCCCTACTCCTTTCCTTCCTTGGTCAGCTATGTCACCACCCTTGGAATACTTATCGAGTCCACCCTTCCCTTCATGTACTTTATCAATCTAAAGGATCCGGAGCTTGATACAATGCCCTACGCATTCCACTCTCGTTCATTCGTCGTCATATGCCGAAATGTCATCACCTCTCTCCCCCTTTCCATCCTTCGGTCCGCTGTGCCACCACCACTCATGGTGATCACCACCTATCGAAAATATCCTTTTCACCTATTTAATCAACATAAGGGACGGAAAGGAAATGCCGCCGAGGCCGTAGGCTTTGGAGTTCTGAAATGTCGCCGTTGCGTCATTGCTTTTGCCGCCGAGGCCGTGGCCTCGATGGCAACGTCTTCACCATTCTTGATGGTGAGAACTGTATTGGATGGCTTTATGATATTAGGAAAGCTTTTAACAGCATTGATCACAAAGACCTTCTCCTTAAGCTGGAATAACATGGTGTCAGAGGTCTTTCCCATGCTTGACTGTCCTATCTCTCCAATCACCCTACAACTGTCCACTATAAAGACAATTGTGGCCATTCCCACCTGTCAGGACCCTATTTGATAAACTCTGGAGTTCCCCAATAACTGTTTGCTCTCCATCTGAACTTTATTTCTCAAAACACATCAAATCATGTCTCACTTCCTACAGTCCCTATCCTACCCTGACTTTTTTGCGATAACTTGGGATCTGCCCCAGGCATAAGAGGTGCAGGTGCATTAGAACAAGTGATAAACTTATGTGAGTTCACAGTGCATTGTGCAAAGTGTAGCCCTATGTTATCTCTCTCTTGTATTTGTTACTGCTGAATACCTTTTTTGTGCAGCAATGTATATTGTTACCTTTCAATGGGCATCATGCCCCCAATGAGAGAAAACTATACTCAAACCCAAACTCACCATTCCTACTGCCTTCTTGTGCTCACTGGCCAACTAAAAAGGACATAGTAGTTGTTGGGCCAAAGCATGCTGGAATCTGAACAGATCCCAGTCAGATAGACTTAGGGTGCACATACTATGAACGGAGATGGTCCTGCCTTCATATCAGTAGTAACATGACTGATGATGCATTATTCCAACCTCCTGGCTCCCATGGACAGATCTAAGGCAGTGCATGAGTATTGGTGACAGTAGATGTGTTGGGGGAGGGGGGGGGTTTGCTCTGGATATAAAGAAATATGTGGGTTGCCCTGGATATTGCCAGTAAAATGATAAAAATGCTGCTGAGAAAGTCTAATGCAGAAGTGCAACAATACATCCTTCAACCATCTTGCAGGTGGTTGGAGGGTCCAGGCAGACAGACAGGGTGCTTTGTCACCATCATCATCAACAAACACGTAAACTCAGCCCCTCTGCCATGGGAGCAAAACTTACTTCCAATTGAGCCACTCACTGCCCCTTCTTGATCTGCCAGCTTCAGTTCTATTATATTTCACTCATGAGGTTCTTGTGTGTGAGAGAGAGGTGGAGAAGAACTTATTTGTAGGACTGTGCTAATTATTGCAATATCTATTGATATTGATCCTCAGTGAAGTGTCTATATGTTGCAGTATTGTTTTCCAGCCTCATGCTGCTCCTACTTGATTACTTCATGTACATACATGGCATATTATGGCTGATGACAGAAGGTGAAGCTGCATGATCAACAAAGGAAGCCAACATATAGAAACTTCATTCTAGCTTAAGCCATTCCCCTGAATTACTAGGCTTTCATGAAACAAATTTGATAAAAGAAAAATATAGTGGGAAGGGTTCCTTGTATGTCCCCAGCCATTCAGCCTATGGAGCAATAGAAGAATATTATGTGTCACAATGTAGCACTACTCCAACTTCCCAATACGAGGCTTTTATAACTGAAATAGAACAGGTATCACCATACCTCAATGGCAACACTGTATAATTCCCTTTAACACACTTATCCCTGGCTTTTTCTTGGAAAAAGGAGTTAATTCAATAGGGAATTCTTAAGGTGATGTCATTGTCACAAGCAAAGAACACCAATGCTTCTTTTGTTGCATGTGGACTCCTATATATATATCAATTTGTGATTCTGATCTGCAACATGAAGCATTTTTTGTTGTTACAGATTCTTACTTACAGGATGGACAAGATTGTGATAATGTGCTATATATAATTTTTGATATCAATCCCTTTAAAATCCATGTACCTCAGCCCTACTTATTAGTGTAAGTTTGTCAGGAAGTTTCAACTTTGCAACTAATTCAGCGAATTAGTTGCATTGCAAAGTGAGAAATCCTCAGCCAGAGACTTCCTTCTTCAGATAGAAGCAGATGAATTAATGGAAGGAAAAGGAGAGAGGTTGTATTCAGAGAAATCAGTATCTTCCTTTACACTCCCATTATTTTTTAACCCTTCAAGCTCTAAGTTTTGATCTGACCTCCTATGTGATGATTGTATGGTGTACATGAAAACTGCCTGAAGGGTTAACATGGCTGCATGCAACTGTGATGTGGTACAAATCAAAGAATGGGAACTTCCTGTTACATTGAGCCAATTCCTTTTCTTTGGAAGAATAGCTTGTGGATATCATTGTGTTTGATCAGGGATGAGAATAGGTTATGAAGGTTCAATTGCTAATTAGATGGGAAAACTGATCTGCGTGAACTTATTAAATCATTTAGGTGAGCATTAATTTTGTGAATGCTCTCTGTATTCAAGGAATGAACAAAGGAGATATATGCTGCCATCCTAGCCTCCTAGAGAGTATACTTCAGGTTATATTTGAGTAAGCCAAGGACTCAAGTGGCTTTGAGCCCTTGGATGAAAAGGACACATTGCAATAATATGTCCTCTTCATTTCAGGAAGTATTTTATGGTATGCTGGCCATGCCTGGATCCTTAGCAGTGATGACTTCATAACTTCATATATCCAACAGATAGAAAGGAAGTGGCTTGCTATCCTACTTGAACCCAACATTTGGCCCCAAAGTGCAGAAGCACCATAAATTTTTTGTGAAGGACAATTTATCAAACAAGACTGTGCCTTTGTTGATCTTTTGTTATATCTGCATGTATGTAAACTAGCATGAATGCTGCTTTTTTTCATACTTCAGGAGCATTTATGCTAAACCAAAAAACCAACTCAGCATCTAGGGGTCAAAAAAGCATGCAAAATATACTATAGAGGGAGTAGTTCTTCCCTGATAAGTGAAAATTGTCTCTTAGATGGAATCATGCTCAATGAAGATAGCCTAGCTGTGTATGTTTAACTTTTCATATTGATTCTTTCTTAGAGGGCATTCTTAAACTGGAATAAAGAGACTATAATCATTTGCAGCATGAAATTAGGCATTTTAAAGTGAATTTACTTTTTTTTGCATTTTTCCATTTTTGCCAGCATAAATAGGCAAAAATGCTGGGACAAAATTTTTTTGCAGTTTTTACCGCTCAAATTTTAAAATCAGAATTTATTGCTTCCAAAAATTAATTCAAAGATGATTAGAATAACTTCTCAATCCCCATGATTCTTGAATCTTTCTGGATATGAAACAAATTGGAATTCATCCATCATTGCTATACATGAAATTCCAGTGCCTGGAAGATGGTCCCAGATTCATAATTATCAAACTATGGAACTATTTTGCCCTCTGGTATCCTCCATTTATCAATGGATACCAGATGTTCGGAAAAATGATGTTATGCTCATCATCTCAGAATCTTGTCTGTCACATTCTCATTCTCTCATGTCACAACAGAATCTCTTGATCTGATTGCACCTCCATTAAAACGAGGTTCTCAAGCAGAATCAGTCATGAGGATGGGAGATTTCCGAATGAATAGCAGTGGATTCAGAATAAGGAGCCGTAGCAATTCTGGTGTTCGACTTGACCAGTATCAAAGGATTGTTTACAAGACTATTCTTGCACATCAGGTGAGATCCCTCATGTGAATATTTGATTATAGATTATAGATTCTAACTACTCCCCTTAAATCATTATGGCTGCTTCATTCCTTTTCAATGTAAGAGATGACATTGTATGACATAAATTTCTTGGTAGGATCCTGTCACTGGACTTTTTCCATCAAAACCAGGAGACTTCCATAAGCATGCATGGGTGAGAGACAATGTGTATTCTATTCTGGCTGTGTGGGGTCTGGCAATGGCTTATAGGAAGAATGCTGACTTGGATGAGGACAGAGCAAAGACTTATGAACTGGAAATGGTAAGTGGTTGCTTGCACTGATTTTAGGGGAAGTAATACTGAAGGCAAAATAGTAGACATATAATATGTTTACATAATTACTGCATCAATAATTATTATGTCCAATAATTATGTGTCCATCTTATAACATTCACCTCTGTCTGTACATAATTGTATTTCCTTACCCATTTGCTTCACTTCATGTTTGGTGATGATTGATAATAGAAAGTTGTTGACAGAGGAAGATAGATGGAGTAGTGCATGTTATAATGCAGAGTGGAAACTTAAATATTGGACACACAGTGTAACTAAGGAGCTGTAGACACCTGGACATGACAGTTTTTTTCTTGTGACAATTTCTTTATAGGCTTGTGTGAAATTAATGCGTGGGATTCTGACATCCATGATGCAGCAAAAAGACAAAGTTGAGAAATTCAAAACAACCCAGAGTCCACAAGATGCACTCCATGCAAAGTATAGCTGTACAACTGGATTACCTGTGGTTAAGGATCATGAATGGGGTCACCTCCAAATTGATGCCACATCTCTCTTCCTACTCATCCTGGCACAGATGACTGCATCTGGTAACATTCTCATTGATCATCTTCTTTTCTTTCCACTCAAAAATATATTTTTTTCTTCAAGGATTCTTTCTTTTATAGGACTTCAAATTGTCTTTAACTTGGATGAAGTAGCCTTCATTCAGAATCTCATCTTCTATATTGAATCAGCCTATTGCATACCTGTGAGCCTTTCTATCAATCTTTTGAAAGATACTGGCAAAAGAATATTTGAATTATGAACAAGATTGGTTTCATGCAGGATTATGGCATATGGGAGCGAGGAGACAAGACGAACCATGGTCTTCCTGAACTGAATGCCAGCTCTATAGGCATAGCAAAGGCAGCTCTGGAAGCTATGAACGATCTTGATCTGTTTGGATCCAAAGGTGGTCCTGCTTCTGTAATCCATGTGTTAGCTGATGAGGCCCAGAAATGTCAAGCTGTCCTTCAGGTGAGAAATATGTTCAAATATTGCAAATGACACTAACTTAAAAAAACCAAATATCAATAAATGCAGTTCTACTTCATTTTGATTCTTTTGTGTATAGTCCATGCTTCCACGTGAATCCAACTCCAAAGAAGTGGACAGTGGCCTTCTGTCAGTGATAGGTTTCCCAGCCTTTGCAGTGGATGATCCTGATCTTATCCACCTCACTCACAAGACCATTCTTGACAAGTTGATGGGTCGGTTTGGATGTAAACGCTTCCTCAGAGATGGTTACAAGACTTGTAAAGAGGTAAGTCTACCTTTAACTGCTAAGTCCATTCAATCTCAAATCATGCACACAAAAAAGAGAAAATTTATCTGATCCCTCTGATTTTGATGAAATTTCAAGAAATTGTAAGGTCAAAATTATTGAGAAACTAATCTGCTCTAAATTTCAGCTTCCTAGGTCAAGTGCTTTTTGAAGTACTGCAATTTGAATGTTGCCAAAGAGGGCTAATTTTTATGATCTGGTGATCATCAATCAACTACAGTCAACTCTTGATATGCCACCACTGTTGGTCTCAGCTGATTTTGATGCTATATCGAAGGTGGTGCTAAATCGAAATGCATGGCTTTAAAATTTATAATTTTTTCTAATTTATATAAAATATGCACCAAGTTTCACTTTAATTAATCCACACTGCCAATAGTCTATGCCTCAGAATACATACACTACACAGCTTTGAAAAATGATTCTATCTATTCCATCCATTATTAAAGCCAATTACTTATTAATTTTAATTTGTATAACTCCTATGCACCATCTGCTCACATTGTCCCAAAACACTGAAAAATTGTTCACAAAGTTTTATTGACTTTCGACCGCACTCACCTCCTAATGGCACACTTCCAATTTTTCCTTCACACTTAAAACCATCCTTTCCCCCATCACTAGATAGGGAACAAACTTGAACTGTTGTCTGGAGAAGTTGTGTATAATCTCAATGAGAAATTTCAATTCTCCAAAAGAAGAGACAGAATTAGACTGGATTTGGTGGCCCTATACACCCCTCTCTAATCTCTGAAGGCCCATTCTAATGCTAAGTCATCCCTTACTATCTTGACATTTATCATGCAACCAAAAGGAGCAATTTGCAGCATTACATTTTTGTACATGTTATAATAATTGTGACTGGTGAAGTATGCTGCTTGGCATAGTATCAAGTAAGACTTACATAGAATTAGACATGTTTGTGCAAGTAAAGGTGTTGGCAGATGGCAGCTAGCAAGGGTGGCACTATAACAGGGGAGCACCTATGGTAAACCTATGGGGAAGATTCATTCGCAGGAAAGAGTTGGTAGTGTATCCAGGGTTGACTGTACCCATGTTTTTTTGTCCTAATTAACTCATGGTCACTGGCTTAGTACTTCAGCCAAGACTGTAAAACATTTAAGTTTGTTTCATATATTCTTATTGCATAACTCATTAAGAAGGTTTTCTGAAAGTTTGAATAAAATATTGTTGAAATTGACGACTTCATTACTATTTTTTAAAGCTTGATACAACTTTCTAGCATTTTACAGGAAAATGATTAACCATCAATTTTAGGGGAAAATGTGTTAAATGCTCAACATAGAGAATGTTAACATAGAGAAGTGAAATTAGTGTTATTTTTAAGCTCTTTTAATGCCCTACTATGTTATGTATGTTTCATGGAGTTGCATGATAGTAAAGGTCAAAAGATTTTGGCCTTTGACCTTTCATTTCAGAAGAAAGGTCATTATTTTTTCCAAAGTAAACATATTACCAAATTTTTCATTTTTAATACACCAAATTTCATGCATGAACTGCTGTGGGATCAAAATATATGAACAGTAATATGGCAGTAAATGATAAAAAAAATATGCAAAGATAATGCTAGAAAAGTCTGGATGCATATGCTTAGTGAAGATATTTGTGGATAAGTCTTTCAATTGAAGTAGTTGGATCTACTATCAATGTTTTTGGAATATTAAAAAGTAAAATTTACATACTGATAAATATAAAAAACTTCGTATACTTTCTTATTTGCATCATATATTTATGGGGAAACCAGTTTAACCCTTTCACTGGCATTGGTGTCTCCTGATGCCCAGGAATAACAAATGCCCCATCCACTGATACCCCCAGAAGGAGGTTGGAGATTCAAATTTCTTCCTGGCAGCAAAAATTGTTAACCCTTTTAGTGCCATGGGAACTATACAGGGTGGACAGAAAGTCCCTGAGGGGTTTCAAGCCTGTATATCTTGGGAACAGGGGGGCATAGAAATATGCGATATGCATCATATGAAAGATTATCTTTTAAATTTTTATATGGCACACTAAATCATACATGTCACACTTTCACATGCCCACCATCTCTGTCAAAACATGCATGCAACCTTCTAGCAAACATACCCAGAACTGCTTCCAATTGGGCAAGTGTAATGTTTCTTACTGCTCTGCTAATGTGTGTGTGCAATTCAGCCACGCTTCATGTGCATGTGGCATACACAATGTTCTCAACATGTCCCCACAAATGGAAGTTTCAAGGGGTTGGGTCTGGGGACATGGGAGGTGATGGGATGAACCCTCCCTGTTTAATCCATTGGTTTGGAAGCTTTTCATCCAAAAGGATGTGCACTAGTCCCCAGGCCTTACTCATATTACTTTTTTAAAATGAATTTGAATGAAAAAATTATAAGGGTCAGGTCTGGGGACCAGTGTGCACCTTTTTCTTCATTCCACTTTGTATAGGGTGCATTGCAGGAAAAAGTACCAGAACAAAATCCAGAGCATTCAAGGCTTGAAAGAGGCAATTGTCAATTCTTAGCAAACCTTGCCCTCACACTCATTTCTCCATGCGATTGGACAGTGCTGCACTCAATTAGAGGCCATCATCAACCAGAATGGAGGACATTTCGAATTTCTGTTTGGAAGCAATAAAGAGATATTTTTATTATGATCAACCTTTTTGCTTTGTAGATATCACAGCTGTGGGTTTAATGGCACAAAGATAAGGGCTTCCTTTTTTTTTCACCACCCTGTATCTGCATTCCCCTTTTTATACAGGACATAATGTGTAAATATCCATGCTCTCCATTGTGGGAAAGTTAATACCATGCAGTTAAATCTGCACTCCACTTCACTGCCATTGAAGGGGTTAAGTGATGACCACTGGACCAGAAATTGGCACTTTTTGGCATTATTTAAATTGCAGTACTTCAAAAAGCAATTGACCTAGGAAGCAGAAGTTTGATATAAATTAATAAATTAGTTTTTCAATGGAATTTCATTAAAATCAGAGGGAGTTAGGTATATGCTGTGTCGGTTTCATATGCTACTTTTTTCATGGTGACAGCAGTTCATAAAATGAAATACTGTTTTTGCTTCTGTAGGATCCCAGTCGACTGTACTATGAACCATGGGAATTGAGGATCTTTGAGAACATAGAGAATGAGTGGCCCTTGTTCCTTTGTTACCTTGTCATCAACTGTTGGTTTCAGGGAGACACAGAAGCTGTTGATGAATATATGGACATGCTGGAAAAGGTTACATTTCATAGGCATTAATAGTCAATTACTTTTATTAGTGTTCATGTTTATAGGTTAGTTTTCTGGTGTTAATAGCTCCTGATCCGTTCAGAGGATGGGGTGAAGTTGGTCCCTGAGATGTACATGGTCCCAGCACAGTTTGTTGATAAGGAATATCAGAATCCTCACAGTCAAGATCGAGTTCCTGTTGGCCGACTGCCTTACATGTGGGCTCAGAGTCTCTACATTCTTGGTTGCCTTCTCAGAGATGTGAGCTAGGCTGTGTCTCACTCAGGTCCTTATACAAGGTGTGTCCCAAAAGTATCCGAACTTTTTCTATACAGACAGTATTAGTGGTGCCATTTGTTGAAAGAAGGTGACGTTCTATTGGTTGAACCTTCATGTATTACTCTGTTGAGTTTGGTTGGGCTAAGACGAATGAGTCATTGCCTAGGGCGCCAAAAGTAACAGTACCCTTATGACACTCGTCGAGAAATCACCATGGAG